TTTAAATTCCGCTGCGCACTCGATGCCATTAATTTTCTAACAATTGGTATCAGAGCCATGGTTATTTGTTCATGATTATGCTATGTACATAGATTTGTGATCTAAAAATATCTCTTTTATGCTTGAATTGATATTTTAGAGAGATGGCACTCTAGGGTTTCTATATTATGTTGTTATCATGAATATATGGTGAATGGTTATTAAATAATTATTATTGATTATTATTTATAAATTATCAATGATTATTCATTATTTAATTTTTACCGGTTATGGTTCCTTAGAGTTTAGAATGGTTGTATAGGAATTTGTTCATTACAATGTAATTAGATAAGCGGCCTATCATCGCCGTTAGGATTTATTTTATTTTCTTTATTAGAAATTTTGTAAACCGGAAAACGGTATAGGAATTTTTATGTAAAAATTCTTGGAGGAGATTTATCAAGGATCTTGAAGATGGATCTTGAAGATGAAGGATATGCAGGTATCTAATTTTCCTTGGTTTATAAAATTGTTTTGTGTTTTTTGAATAAATTGAAAAACTGCTTTGATTTCTGAAAATCTGGGTTACTGTCGCACAGGCACCGGTCGACCTCTCCGGTCGACCGGTTAGTGTAAGGCGGTCGACCAGTTGAGTATAACTACTCTGTCACCGATCGACCGAACCTAAAGTGACAGTATATGTTTTTGTAGTTTTTTGAGATTTTTTCAAGAAAACATGAAAAATAATTTTATGATAACCAGAATTTGATCGTGATGAAGAATTCAAGGACAACCGGGAAGATTCAAGATGAAGAATCGATATATGTTTTGATTATTCTTAGTAATCTTTATTTTTTCTTTTCTCTAAGATGGAACCATAATATTACAGTTATTATTATTATTATGCTTAAAGTGAATAACGTTAATTAAAAGAACTTAATTAACTATTAGCTGCAACACGAGACTTAAAATAGATCTAGTAGATGTGTTTTGATAGATCAGAGAGAATTTTGAAATATGATACATATTTCAGGAGCATTTATGCAAATAATTTATTAAACTATCTCTCTAACAATTGCCAAATCATTAAATCCGTTAATCAAATAAATAAGATGTTTAAAGTGAATAACGTTTCAAAGTTCATGGGATGCGCAAACTAATTTTCAAAGTTTGGGGACCAAAGAGACAAAAGACCAAAATTCATAGGCAAAAATAAAATTTACCCAATCAGTTCCACACTAATAAAATACAGCCTAGCACACCAAATAGCTAAACTTATAAGCGCGTTTGGAATTCGTTTTAAAATGATTTTATTTTTTATATGAAAATGAAAATGAAAAAGTTTTAATCTCAGACATAAATTATTTTTAAAAATGCGTTCGGTAGTTTTATCAAGAGGTTATTTTTAGCATAAAAAATCTATTAATATTTCTCTGCTCGAGAAATGAGAAAATAAAAACTAAAATAAAAAATGACTAAAAATTATTTTTTATTTCTTTCTTATTTTACACTAAATAAAAAAATTATTTTATTTTTATTTTTTATCTTTATTACGTTAAATACTGTTTTAAAAATATTTTTATTTATTTATTTTTTAAAAACGTGAAAAATAAAAACGGGATCAAACAGGACTTATATTCACTCAGCCCTCTTTATGGTTTATAAACTTTATATCGTTCAAAATTCAAAATTAAAACACAATTCACCCAGCGTCATTTCACTGTGCTTACCGATCAGTGCTGTGGCCACTCACCGTGCCGCCTCTGCGTTGCCCACGGCGCCGTTTCCGTACTTAAGTCGCTGGCGCTCTGCCTACTATCACCGCTGTTGTGCTCAGTGGTAAGCCTAATACCTTAACTATTTCTTGATCATTTTATTCCCAAGATTCTCGTGCTTTGGACATGTTCCAATTCTAGTGATTTTCAGTGTGTTTGATAAATCGTTAATCAGTGATTTGATTGAAAAAAATGGGTCAAGTGACGGGTGTTTTTTTGCTCCTTTTTTTTTTTTTTTGGTTTTTTTATTTTATTTTTGGAAATTCAAGGCATTCATTAAGCAGCCAAATCGGCTAAAAACATTCATTTTCTTGGTTATAGAATAGCCAGATTGCTTTCAGAGGTGGGGGATTTTGTTTGAAGTTTTGAACTTTAACTCCCGTTTGGCGTTTTTCCTTTTTCGATGTGGGGCTAGGGTTCCCATTACATTTACAGCCAAACTCAGAAACACAACAACACTCGTTCCCATTACATATACAGCAGCAGCAAATCTTCTTCTTCTTCGATTTCGCTGCTCTCTCTCTCGTCTAAGAATCTGGTAAAGTTGTCGTCTTTGGTCTCCGAATAATACTATCCCTTCACGCCCAAATCGGAAGAATTGGGGATAGAGTTCTGCTGAGTTCCAAAGAAACCCCCGAGGAAGTAACGCCACCTTCGATTGCTCTCATTCTGGTCCCTGCGTTCCTTCGATTGCCTCTATTCCGAAAAGGTCTCTCTCTCTGATTTTATTGAAACTTTCGATATGTTTGTTTGGGAAATCTACAAATTTTATGTAACCTTAATTCTTTCATATTTGAATCATTTGTAACCGTTTTCTTATAACCTTTGTGATGGTTTTCCTGTCTGTAGAATCAATTGTAACCGTTTTCTTATAACCTTTGTGATGGTTTTCCTGTCTGTAGAATCAATTGTAACCGTTTTCTTATAACCTTTGTGATGGGTTTTCTGTCTGTCGAATCATTTTTAACCGTTTTCTTATAACCTTTGTGATGGTTTTTCTGTTTGTCGAATCATTTGTAACCGTTTTCTTATTTGAATCGACCTTTCATCGAACCTCCCATCTTGAAAGTTGTGTTCAACTCTTGTTTGATATCTCCGATCTCTGCTTGATTGGAAGTTGATTCTGTACTGTTCTAACGCAGCATTTGCCTTTAATCACTAATTGGATCCTCTCGGTTTGAGTCTCATCTCATGGAGATTTACAAGTGTGTGTGTTTATATATATATATATATATTATCGTCACTTTGTTCATATTTTGCTTTATTTAAGAATATGTTTTGACATTCAGAAGTAAATTTGTTTATGTAAATTTGTTTTTTCTTTGGGTAATTCAATTAGAGTATGGTACTACTTTGCATAATTTGATTGTTTTATTATGATGTATTGATTATCTTCCCGTTACTTTAGAAAGTAGTGAAGTTCTACAATTTCTTTTATGTTTTCCTTACTAATTTATGTTTGTACTATAATAGTATAGTAGTATCGATACTGACCTGAATATGTTAGAGATCAAGTGTTTGTATTAAGCACTGTGTTAATGGTTTTTGATGATTTGTATAGATTAGGATTATTTTCCTCTTTCTTTGTTTGGTAACTAGATTTGGTTGGAGCTTCTTTTGTAATCCATATGTATTCCCACTATATGGCATTTTTTCTTGAAATATCTTTGAGTTTATCCTTGTTTATCTCGGTTTTGCTTCAGTTAGTTTCTGTATTTGTTGCATTATGCCAAGGTTTTTTGCTTGTTCCTTTACCTAATTGATTTTGCCAATTGACTCACATTCTGCTACACAAGTTGCTGTCTATCTGTATGTAATAACCTATGCCATTGTCTTGTATCATAGTTATACTTTACTCTTATATTTTCTCTCTGTTTTGTTGCAACTGATATTATTCTCGTACATCACAATGCAATCCTATCTCAATATAAGATAAGTTCATCCGTCTTGTTTTCTTAAAATTTCAATAATCTAATTTTTTTCTTTTTTTTACTTTTTCATATATTTACATACTTTGCAGGTTCGAAATGGTATCTTCAATAGCCTCTTGATCTTATGATGTTTATGTCAATAAATCTTATGTGTTGTTTTCCTAACATCACATGATTTATTCTTACTTGCTCTTTGGATAGAAAAAGACATTATTTGGTTGGATTTCTTTCCACCATGGATTGTATCTTTTGATACTTTCTTCTCAAAAAAAAAAAAAAAAAAAATACAAATGGGAATAGCATCTGTTGCAAAGCAAACTAGTTCATCAGTAAAAAGCATAGTTAGCTAAGACATGAGCCAGAACTAGTGGGATTCCGAACCGTGTCTAATTCGTTACGTTGCTAGAAGCCCCTAAGGAATCTCCCCGCCATATCCAAAAAATTCAGAGAGCTTAGTATGCGCTTGTCAAACACCAGTACATTACATTCCACGCCCACCATAATTACCAAGCTATCATTATAAAGACTTCCAAGTCCATAACAGACTGACCTCGTCCTAGCTACTTCCAAAAACAAACCACCAAAAGTAGCAGCCCTTACCCTCAATTTTTTCAATAATAACAACACAACACTAGTATTCCAAACTGCTGTAGACTTCGGGCACGCCCAAAGTGCATGCCAAATGGTCTCATCCCGTTCTCCACATCTCGGGCAAGTGGTCGATATGTCGATTCCATGCCGACTTAGAGAAACTATAACTAGGGATAATAGAATGAATGGCCTGCTGCTCAAAAAGTTTTTAATTTCACTTGGTAAGTTTAACCTCCCCAGCTTATTCCACGACCACATGTTTGAACAAGTGCACATACTTCAACTCCTCTGCCAACCTGTACCCACTTCACAGAGTGGAAATCTTTAGCATCATAATGCTAAATGAAGGAGTCATCTCACTCATGATTTCGCAATTGGATGCTAAAGATGAGCTCCTAATCAATATTGAGTTCCAATCCAGTGTATTAAACATGATGTAGTTTATGGGATTAAATTATCAAATAAAACAAGTTAAGAGACTAAAGTACAAAACATAAAAACCTAAAATGCTGGTGTTACATGGTGTACTTTTTTATTTGAAGCAGGCACATTGCATCTTTTCAAGTTCCAGGATGTGGCAAATGCTGTGAAATCCAAAGCGAAAGAACCCCCAAAACCCAAACGACGACGATGACGAAGAAGATGGTGAAGTGAAAGTTATCGTTCATCGTGCTGTCATTGGTTGAGCTTAAAGAACTCTCTAATATCTGTTATGTAAGTTTCTTCTTTTCTCTTCTCTTCTCAGACTTTGGACATTTCGCTTTCTATTATCCAAATTACAATTTCAAAACGAGTAGGTAAGACTCGTCACTGATTACTTTCTCTTATTTTTGTGATTTTCTAATTCTTACTTTATTTCTTTCAATTATTCAAATTCCAAATTGGAAAAATGGGTGTCTTGTTTCTGTTTAATTGAAATTCATTTAAATTGTTTCTTTACGACCTATTTTATTTGAGTGCCTGTATAATCTTAGACAATGATATTTAGATAGAAGTATATAGAACGGCGATCATCATACACCAAGTAGAGTAAGTTTCTCACACATTTGATTGACAAATTTGAGTCAAATTAAATTTACAATGTACACCGAGTAGTTATGGATTGTACATTGTTTGTAAATGCTGGTGTTACATGGTGGTGTTACATGGTGTACTTTTTTATTTGAAGCAGGCACATTGCATCTTTTCAAGTTCCAGGATGTGGCAAATGCTGTGAAATCCAAAGCGAAAGAACCCCCAAAACCCAAACGACGACGATGACGAAGAAGATGGTGAAGTGAAAGTTGTCGTTCATCGTGCTGTCATTGGTTGAGCTTAAAGAACTCTCTAATATCTGTTATGTAAGTTTCTTCTTTTCTCTTCTCTTCCCAGACTTTGGACATTTCGCTTTCTATTATCCAAATTACAATTTCAAAACGAGTAGGTAAGACTCGTCACTGATTACTTTCTCTTATTTTTGTGATTTTCTAATTCTTACTTT